GGTGGGGGGGAGTGGAGCACTGGGGCAAGTGGAGGGAGGGCAGGATTACAGGGGGATGAAGAAAGTGGGGCTGGACAATCGTGCAGGGAGTGAGTGAGAAATGAAGCCCATGGCGGGGGTGAGGGGGGTGTCTCCTTTGAGGGTCACCTGCCCAAGGGGCAGCACTGGATGATGCTTGGTGGGTAAGAAATTAATCCAAGGTGGGGGGAGGGGGTGAGAGATGCAGTCCATGGGAGGGGCAGCTGGTCAAGGGGGTGGTGCTGGAGGAGGGACTATAGAGGGGCCAGCAGGCTCAGGGGAGTGTTTGAGGTGTCACCCTGAAATCTCTCAGATTCAGCCCCATTGATTGAGGCACCCCTATATCAGCTGTTGGCAGAGAATTTGCAGACCCAGCATGCCTATCCCCCTACTTCCCTACCAAAAAACCATTAGCTTCTACAAGGATAATGAGCAAAAATACCATCTGATAGGAAGCAAAACATTGCACTATTGAAGAGGGGCCTCCATATGCTTCCAGCAATGGTGGGGAAACAAGCCATAGTGATTTGAGGGCTCTCCCTTCCACTGTGCTTTTAATGGCTCCAAGACTCATGACATGGGAAGAAAACAGAGACATAGTTTCTATTGTGACTTTTGTATCTAAGTTTGCCAAGTCAAATAGCTCTGATTCTCAACATTGCAATGCCTCTTTTTTGAGTCCGAGATTTTTCTTTATGCTGTAGTAGAAAAGCATGAGGGTCTACCATAATGTCCATATGTCAGGCACTGGCAGCTGCGGTGTGGCTGGAAGCTGTCAGGACCACCTTCTGTTTTTCTAAATTTTGTTCCTCCGGACGTCGGGTAAGTCCAGCTAGTACAACTACAGTAAACTTCCAATAATCCAGCACCTTTGGGATCCAGGGGGTGCCGGATTATCAGATATGCTGGAGTATCAGGAGGTACTCCAGAAGGGGGCTGTGAAGGGTCTGGGGGAGGAGGGGTCGGTAGGGAACAGCGCGATGTGGGGAGAACCCTCCGCCGTTTTGCAGGGAGGCGGGGAAAGTCCCGTGCAGCTGCCGACAACAGGCCAGCTGGGGCTGCAAGCGGTAGCGGCGACTTGGGGAAGCGGTGGGGCAGAGCAGCTGGGGTGCTGCCCTGCCCCCTGGTTTCCCCAAGTCTGCCGCTGCTGAAACTGTTGAGCGGCGGGCTTGGGGGAATGGCGGGGGGAC